TGATGTGCTCAGACTGGAAATCTTTCGCAAGTTATGAAATTCACAACAGTCAAACCGTAGTGAGTCTATCTGACAGACCTTATCTTGCAACATGAGGCTTCAGCTTTGCAATAATCTCTTAATGATAAGTGGTAACAAGGTAGTCGTTACTGTTGAGCTCAAAGAGGTCTGCCGAGATGGTCTGGCAGGGTCTTGTTTGTATTTGATGGCACGCTAGAGGTTTTTTTCTGCTGTGTTGGTTTGTAACTATTACAGATACTGCATCTTGAGATGACCTCTGGAATCTACTTGTACATTCCTGGCCAATAGAAAGTTTCCTTAGCCCTCCACAGACAGCCCTGGACACCCAGGTGGCTTACATGTATTTTGCCAGTGATACAATGTCTCACGATATTATACGTTGGACCACGATTCTTTCACCCTTGAACACAACGACATTCTGAAATGATAGTTCCTCCCTGAAGTTAAAACGCTAAGAGGACAAAAAGATGCCAAATTCTCTGGCCAACCCTGCTTGGTGACGGTGGTTAACGACTCAAATTCTGTATCAGTTTCAATAGCAGCCTTTATTTCGGAAAAAGTTACTGACGAATTGGTACAAACTCTGCCTATCTTACGCTCGCCTCCGAAAGGAGATACGCCTCGCTAAGCGTACCTGCAATATGCATCTCGTTACCCTTACTGTGAGCTCAGACTTCTTTAACTGCAATAGCATTCTTTGCTAATTCTTCGGAGCACTCAGCTGACTCTTCTTCATAATAGACTCCAAGGGTTTTTGGTCAGTTTGAATAACGACCTTTCTTCTATAGAGTTATCTCTCAAACGCCAAAGACAATTGACACCATTTCTTTTTCAATTTGGGTATTGTTGACCTCAGTGGCAGTGAGGGCTCTAGATGTATATGCCACTTAATGGCCATCCTGAAAAACGCAATCTCCATGGTTAAGACCATCCAGAGAGGCGTCACATTGAATCACATTCTTTTTTTGAGAAGTATAAAACTTGAACACTAGATCATAGGTTTAAGACGTGCTTTACTTTCTCTGGGTACTTTCCAGGGACTTTCTGCTCCCTCCCAAAATCGCTTTGCTTCTTGACTAGCTCTTTCAACAGCTTGAATAAGTTGGCTAGGTCAGGGAAGATATACGACGAGGCCCATGTAGGTGACTTCCTACTGTCTACATCTCATCAGCAGTTAACTTGATGCTTTTTGCTGGCTCTTCGAATTCAAGTGCTACATTCATTCGCTTCTGAAATTCTTCTGGAGCTGGCGACAATTCAAATGGCATTCGCAGCCCCAAGATGTTCTAAGAGTGGTTGCAATACTGCTTGGTTCATCTTATTGGACATGCCAGAACCCATTTTTGGCATTTAACACTGTAAACACACGAGCCTGTGAGAGCAGGGGAAGAACATTTATTTATTTATTTCGCTTCGCCTAACTAGAATACAATCTTTATACATGAATACATAAAAAATTACTAGGCAGGGAGACCACTACAGCCTAACCAATTGCAGTGGATCTCTCGTTAAAATAATAATAAAAAAACTTGATAACTAAAGCTACTGATACATAGCCAAGAAAAATCAAAACGAAACAAAACAGAAATTCAAATTGTTTAAAGTGCTACTACGACGAAAATTTTTGTCTTTGTTTCCGAGTTTTTTTCCCATAAATCTTTTCTATAGGTTCAAAATTATACAAATAGCGAAAAATTTGAACCTTACTTGCGTCCGCGGGCTGGAAATTTCCTTCCAAAAAGTGCGTGAATACCGTCCGCCATTACACAGTTCGCAAAACAATAGCCCGCGAGATCTCCGCAAAGCGGTGTTGCGTTTGACCACGTGAGTTATGCACTGTGACGTAGAAACATCAACCAAAAGATTTGCATTGGGAAGAGTTTGTGATTTTCGATCGATCCGTCAATATAATGTCGTCTCAATCCGAATCGTCTTCCTCCAGTTCTTCTGGAAGCGACACAGAAGAAGTTTTTAACATGGAAGAAGATTTGTCTAACTTCGTTCCTTACGAAGAAGATTTAGAGCCGCTGGCAACAGAGGAGGAAGCAGCCGAGCAAGATGCCAGGATGGCTGAAGAACTTGAAGAGGAACTCCGCTATCAGGCAAGATTTGACCGTGAAGTGGATGTTAATACATGGTATGACCATTGAACTGTTTTTGTTTAAGTTTCTGAGCAATGATCTGTATTTTTTTTACTTTTGTTTGGTCGTGCTTTATTACAAAGTAAACATGAAAGCCTCTGTTTGCACTTATTAGTTTTTGTTGACGCCGCCGATCGCCTCTGTTACCATGCAAACTGAGTCCCAGTTTGTTATCGCTGAGGTTTTTTTAATGGCTTTTAGAATCTTTTTTCCGATTAATTATATTATTCGTAATCTATTTCATTTTTTATTCCAGTTTATATTCGAACACTATTGTTTCTGTACTTTTGGGACTGCAGGTGCTCCTGCTCGAATTGCTCAGTTGACTTCACCACTAAACCAGAAGAGTGCCAGTGCTGCCGGGAAATCGACCGCTGTGGTGAAGTTATGGAAAGGTTTGGCGATACCAGTCAGTGTATTACTCTCCATCCTGGGTTCCAGGATGTCTGCCTCAATCAGCACGTTTTAGAAGTAGCAGCATTGGGATTGAAAACAAAATCTGGAAAGTCGTACCGAGTATTGTATGACCAAGGACGAAAATCACAGTCAGAGTAAGTTTCCTAGCTACTACCACTTCTCACGTTCTCTTGGGAAAATAAAGTCTTGAACATTTGAATACAAAAGCATTGTGATGTTTTAAAATTCACCTTTTGTGATTCTACTCTTTGCTTATTTAGCTGGTGTTTGATTTTTCCTTCTATTTATACTGAACCCAGTGATTTCACCTAGTAGTGAGTCAACACCCAACTAGTTCAACCGTCAATTGAGTTCACTTCATATTTGCTCATAGTGAATTAGCCTCATAAATAGTTAGCCCCCCCCCCCAAAAAAAAAAAAAAAAAAATTTATGTGGGTCTGTATTGTTACTAAAAGTGTCTTGTACCAAAATGGAAATTCTAATCTCCAGGTTGTTATTACGCATGCATCGCATGTAGGTTGCCACCATTTCTTTGGACTTCCAGTAAGATTGAATGAAATGCACAGAACGCAATTTGATCACGTGCGCTTGGACATTTTATCACTTTGTAATCACTCTGTAATCTGATCACTCTTTTTTTTACTATCTCTCACGTGAAGCTTATGCAAAGAACACCCAGCGCAGTGATGGAGTTAAATTTTTTTGACCTTTTGATTGTTGTTGACCGCACTCCATAACGTTTGGTTATTACTAGTTATACTTTCCTAGAAGTAACTTCTGAACTTGTTGTTTTGAAAGGTTTTTGAGGTCAGTGGCATACCGCCAATTTACCAGGCTGCTATGGGATTTTACTGGCAGTTCCCGGCGATACCCTCTGCCATGCTGTGCTTATAAGATGATTAGAAAAAAGTTTCCAGAAGAGAGTCAAAATTACCATGGATTTGAAGATGATGATTGATTCATATAGTTGGTATAACCAACAAAAAAGGCTCCTTTAGGAGCCACCAAAGGTAATAAAAGTCATGACCAACAACAGAACATTATGCCAATATACATTTTAATGACTCAGACACAACTTTAGAGTTTTGGGAATTCAATATTAGGCTGGATTTAGCAACAGAATGGGAACGTCATTTAACGACAGGAAAGCGTGCGGAAAGGACTAAAGTCGACTTCCGGTGCCCCATTTGGCGCTCAACCATTGGTCAAGCTTGGTCAAGCCAGTTGTTTGATTTGCGCGCGCCGTCGTCAACTGACGTTCCCGTTCTGTTGCTAAATCAGCCTATTTAACTCAAGGTGGAAATCTAATTTTTTCCCATGTAAATAGATTAAAACTTGTGCATGATGAAGGTAAAAGTATAATAAGTTTGGTGCATATTATGCTACAAGTCAAAGTTACATTCAGTTTAAAATTTTGTAATCTCGGTTGTTTCTCAAATTCCTTTGTCTCCTGTCTCTTATTAAATCTTTTTATTCATGAATATTCAGGAAAATAACCAACTTATGTTTAAAAATGTTAACCTGAATATTATAATTTTGACTTATAATATATTTTAATCTTTTTCAACTGTCTCAAAAGGAAAATGAAGGAAAAATAAGGGGAAAAAACTTTATATTCTATCAATTAAGGTTTATGTAGACTGCAGTTCTTGAGAGGACTCTATTCATTCACATTGTCCCCTTTTATGGCCTCGTCGTGGTTTTCCACATTTTGAACAATGGGAAGCTCTTCTGCGTGTTACTGCCCTCTCATTTGGTGGATGAAGTTCTTCCTCTGTCACAGCAAATCAAAGCCAATGCAGAAATATTAGAAACTTATTTGTTTAATCTCAGTTCTGTTCCTACATGTATACGTAGAGATACAGTAGAAGTGAGTCATGTTTTCTTTTCCCTTGCCATTTTCTTAGTTTTCATGTTTTGAACTCATACCTGAACAAGTTGGAGGACAAATGGTTGTCACTTTCTCTTTTCTCTGTCTGTATTTAGCTATGGCCTCCTCCCTACTTTCCTTTTCAGCCAACATTGTATGCAGAGGTTCAGGAACTTCATCCTTAAGTTCTTCTGCCATTGACTTCAGGTCTGCCTTTGAGGTAGTGGTTAGAGTTTCAAAGATATCTGCAACATAATCTAACAAAAAAACAAACAAGCATATAATGCAAATTCCCTAATAGAGAGAGTCTGATTGAACTTATTCACGTAGAGACTGATCAATAACTACCATAATTTGCTGAGACTTTAGCTTCCCTAACTGTAGCCTCTCCTTCCTTGAATTTAGGGTAAGTCACATAAAGCACAGGCCTCCCTTGACCATCAGTTTTGCTGTCTCTATTCAGATTATAATTAAAATGCAGTGCCGCTAGTATTGTTCTGTAAAATAAAAGAGAGAGAAAGAGAGTAAAGTCCAGTATGATCAGATATCTCATTACTAGGAATGTGAATTATAAGTCAGTCACACCATGACAATATAACAAATATTTATGCACTTGTACCTGCTAAGTAATCCAAGATAAGAGAAAGCAAACATCTTTGGGGCAAACTGATTCACTACTGAATGATAACCCTCAAGGGCACTTGTCTGCTCTACAGAAGATGCCTGTTTGATAGCCTTGATGAGGCTTGTCTTTCCTAGTTCAGTGCATAGCTTCTCATATGCCTCTGATGCTAAAACATAAGATAAAATGAATATAATAGTTACTTGTAGTGCCAGTACCAAAAACAGTTTTTGATTGGTTTGTTTTAGGAATAACATAACAACAGTACATTGCAACGTGTTTTTGTACCTTTCGTCATCCAAACACGAGGGGTAGCAATTTCACCGTGGGCACAAGCATTAAATAGCCGATTGGGCAAATTTCTGTGTTTGTTGATCACATGAGACAGAAATGCCTGGAATTTTGCCAGTTTAAGTTCTCCAAGATGCTCTTGAGTTGAGGTGACTGCCCAGTAAAAGTGACATACACAGGCTTTCCGCCATCTTCCAATAATTTCACATCCCTTTTCCTTACTGAGTTTTGTCAGCACCTTCTGAATTTCTGAAAGATACGTACGTTACTGGTCAAAATTGTTTTCAGGTTAAAATTTATTACCCCGGCTGAATCCCAGTTTCCCTGGTCTCCTAGCCCTAATTCATGAATGATATTATTATTTGGGCTAGGAGACAAAGGACATGTGAATCAACCTAGGTAAAAATATTAACCTGAATTTAATTTTGACTTAGAACATCTATACATAGGAGTATTCTCAGCAAGTTTCTGATTTGTTATTTGGTTTATTTAGAAAAGAAAATGTCCACCCATAAGACTCTAAAACAAACAATTTGTTATTGTAAGTCCACAGACTACAAGAAAAATTAACCAGTAGTAATCAAACTGTTCATAGCAATTGGATGATGAGAGATACATTTTTTTTTTCTGTTTACTGGCATGTGGTCATTGATTCAGTATAAAGAATGCTTACTTTTTGCAATATGCCACAAGTCGAAGAAATGTTTCACAACTGGTTTTCCCAGCTCATTACACTTTGCAGCACAGTCTTCCCTCATCCATTTTGCGATTGACGTATGGCGGTCTGATATAAATGATTTGATGATCATCCCAGTCCCCAGAAGAAATGTAAAAGCCTTTTGGAAAGCCAGAAACTCCATACCTGAACTGTTACCCGCCTGGTTAGCCTGAAAGTATTAAAGGAGAAAAAACATGCCATCTAAACAATGGTCAAGATCAAACACTAAAAATATCCCCAGGTTGACTGTAGAATTTTTTAGCATAGAATCATGCAAGGCATTGCACAGTTATCATAGACATTTTAACCTTGGGTAGATGAAATTGACAAGAAAGCAATCAAAATTCTACAATTGTCAAGATTAAAAACTCCAATTTTAAATGTTTAAGGAAGAAAATTATATAAAACTATCCAAGGCAAATACATGAAAATGCAGTTTTTTGAAACAGCAACAAAATATCCAATTCACATAGTGGAGTAAAATCTGATGTCTTAATATGGAATTGACCATAAGTGACGATCAAACGAATGGAAGGCAAAGTAACATACATACTTGCACAAGGACTATATGGATGATAAGTCCTATAGTACAACAGAACATTGTGTAAGTGCCGTATTTGGCTGAGTGGCCCATACTATCGTGACGTCCATTTCCAGCCAATACCACCTCTTTGTTTCTCAACTGTTCCAATAATTTGCTTTGATATTTTTTCCAGAATGCCACAATAGATGGTATGAGGAGATGTCTCTGGTGATAATAGTACGTCGGCTCATGAAAAGCCAACACACCCATGTGCCGAAACACCAAGAGCACCTTTCTGATAGAGGCTCCAGCACACAGAACAGCAAAACTCAGCAACAGATTTCCAGCTGGAAACCTCCCCATCAGATCAGGTTGGCTTTTCCAGGTGTATGTCTCACCACACTTGCTGCACTCAGTTACAATGCTCAGCATTGTTCCAGTCTGGGTAACAGCCACCTTAGGGTTTGGGAAGAGGCACAAGTGACAGAACTCGAACAGCAGCATCAATTTTGAGAGAAAGACTATTCCCTTTGGCTCCTCCCGTACATTTTTGCCTTTTAGGTCAAGTCTAAAAAAGATAGTAAATAAAGAAGACCAGTTGAAAGGATTATTACAGTTATTGTTGTTGACCATTTTAAATCTTGCCTTTAAATTAGTTTTTATAATAGTTCTGGGCACCACTCAGTATAACAAAGTGAAAGAACAGTATTATTTGTTAACCTTGGGTTGTCATGAGTCTTTTGACTGTCATCTTCATTTTTCAGTTTTTGGTACTCCCTGTCAATCTCCTCAGGGGTCCATATGGGGTCCTCATTATCGTTGCTGTTGTCTCCCTCATCTTCATCATTTAACTCCATATCCTCCTCAGTTTCCTCTTCACACTCGGCATTGTCAGAGACCACTTCTGGGTCAGTTTGGACAGCTGAATCATAATAACAGGAAATTACTACTACCTCAACTTAAAAAAAAAGTTGTTGGTAAAACTATCTAATGATGATTGTTGTAATCTTACTGTGCAATTGAAGAGAAAGTTTCTTGAGTATTTAATTTACTTTATAAGTTTGAAACATTACTGTAGACTTGAAATGGTTATTGGTAATCCACAATGTTGTCACTTTTTTTCAAAACCACTACCTAATATTATTGTAACAGGTAAGCAGTCTTACCTGTATCAACCATCAGCAGCCTATTTTGTCCATGAATTTGTTGGAATGTTTTCACCCAATGATCCTGGTTGGTGGTCAGTTTTCTGTTCAGTCTAGTTACTTTTCCTTTCAATTGACTTATTTCACTTTTGAGGGTATTGCATGTTGCACATTGTTCATTTGTCTAAAAAAGAAAAAAAAAAAAAGAAAAGAAAAGAAAAATAAGCTTTCACAATTATTTTCTAATTGAAAGCTCACGTCAAAAGTGTTCTTTTTAATAACACTGTACCTACCTCTACTTGATCAATCTCCAGCTCAACATCCTCTTGAACCTCCGCCTCAACATTCTCTTTAACTTCCACCTCAACATCTTTATTGTTCGCCTGATCACCTTCTCCAACTTCCACCTCAACGTCTTTATCGTTCGTCTGATCACCTTCTGCAACTTCTACCTCAACATCTTCATCGTTCGCCTGATCACCTTCTGCGACTTCCACCTCAACATCTTCATCGTCCGCCTGATCACCTTCTGCTATTTCCACCTCAACGTCTTCATCGTCCGCCTGATCACCTTCTGCAACTTCCACCTCAACATCTTCATCGTCCGCCTGATCACCTTCTGCTATTTCCACCTCAACGTCTTCATCCTCCACCTCAGAATTTGTCTCATTTTGTATATTTTGGTCGTATTCTTCCAAGATTTCCTTTACAAGCTGCCAAGACAACAAAATAAATTAAGAAAAAAACCGATCGGTTTGATACATATTCGAGCAGTGAAACTGAACAGCTTTTTCTATTTGACAGACAGTGAACACAGAAATAAAATACAAACGAAAACGAAAAAACAGCAAGCAGTAACTGAGCTTATAGAATGCATAAATCAGACTAAGTCCATTTTTGGCCTTTCATAGAAAAGACTCGCGTGTAATACTTAAAGTTGTTGTAAAATTTTTTGGAGGGAAGTTTGGAGTACTGTCAAATCTCAAAGTAACACAAAAATAATCTCTCAAAAAATAGAGAGCCAGATTTCTTTGTAGCTTCACTTTTTCTAAATTTTACGCCTGAGTGGAAATTAATGTCTAGAAATTGATCCCTGGAAATTGACTTCACGTCAACTGTGTGGAAATACCCATTTTTGCGCAAATGCCCGTTTTACTTTAACTATGAGAAGAAAGCAGAAAAGTATGAAAACACATGTATGAATATGGAAAGTCCAAATAGTCATAGCATCCATTGAACGAATATCATGAAAAACGATGCCAGAAAAAATTATGTCACAGGTAAATGAGGAAATTAAATATGTAATTCCACTCACCGATCGTCGACTCCGCTTTGATAGTGTTGCAGAAGATTTTTTCCAAATGGTTGGAAACGTCCCCTTCTTCACATTCCTTTTCATGCCTTTCATTGGAAATGCAAGCGTAAAACAATCCCTTGTAAAATGCTCCGAGCAAACAGCAAATTTTCCCATTGGGTTGAAATTCTTCCCGTGCATGGACACAAAACTTTTCCACTTCAACATAACGCTGCCCGAAGCAGGAGAATTATGAATCGAAATTCCCAACTCATCGTTCTTTACGTTTCCACAGTCTTGAACAACACAACGGCGACCAGGCATACTTTCGTCAAAAAAGAACCTCAAAAACCTTCCAAAAACATCTCACCCTGCATGCGAAATTAGCGACGTTTGTGTGCTTTGTTTTGCCGCGTTGATGTTTCTACGTCACATCTCGCCCCAACTCCTTCAAATACTACTCCCGGTCATTTTTTGAATCGAGTAATGGCGGCAACACATTTACGAAAATTGCCGTGCAAATAAACACACTTCCAGATCATATTTGGACTCCAAACTTGGCAGGGTAAGTCACTTTTACATATATTTTCGAAATATGTAATCAAAAACATATTCCCAAATTTGATCGTAGTAGCACTTTAAAGCAGCAAGTCGGCGGGCACAGGAGAGTCCTCGCTATGTTGCACCTGGGACAGATTGTTCTCCAGGTTCTGATGTCGTCAATGTCGTACAGGTCCAGCGCCTTATTGTTATTTTGAAGTAGTGAACGCTTAAATGAGGGTAGAGAGATCTGACTTGTGCGTAACTCAGCGGGCAGAACATTCCATGTGCGGCACGCGCGTATGAAAAATGAGTGTTGATAAGTAACAATTCTACTTCGCTTAGGAATATACAATAGCATTGCTGCTCGATGACCTGGTAGATCTCGTTGATACTAGTTGTAGGCAGAGCTTCACTATCTATGAAAACTAAGTTATTAACAGCTTATAGAAAAAGACTATATCCAAAAGTTCATGCCAGTATGAAACAGGTAACAGATTTGTTAGTTGGAGGCGGGTCTTATAGGTTACATCGCAACGGAAGGGAAGCTTCAAAATTAGTTTTGTTGCACGGCGCTGCACGTTTTCAGCTCGTTTTAGTAAGCCAATGGACTGTGGCGACCATACTTGGGTTGCGTAGCTGACATGGAAAGCGTGCAAAGTATTTATGGAGAAAGTTGGCCCGGCTAGGTGGCTGACCCTTCTATTACAAAAGGCCGGTGACTCGACAAGGTGGGTCACCCTTCTAATCGAGTCAGTTTTTTATTATTTTAACGATTCGCCATGTTTTGTAAGGAAATGTGTGAAACGTTGGCTCATCCAGGGTAGCTCGTGTAGGCGGGTGACCCTTCTACTCGAGACAAGTTTTCTTCATATAAGCGGATCCTAAATTTTAGTTCTTTACATTAACTGCCGCAGTCCAGCTGACACACATTTTTTTGTTTTTGTTCTATAATGTGGAAAACTGAAATTAAAAAAACAGGGTGAAACCCCGTTGATGAGACCACCATTTGGCCATAAAATCCTGGTCATAATAGCGTGGTGGTTGCATTAAAAAGGTCTTCAAAATAATAAAATGACTCGGAGATCTTCACATCTGCGTCGGAAGACTATGGTATTAATAAAGAGGTGGTCGTATAAACGGTGTGGTCGCAAGGCGGAGTTCCTCAATATATAAACAGAAACAAGAGTTTGACGAACATCCATGATCAAATTTTTAAAAAATATATACTGAAAGATAATGGCAGGATCTTTACGCAAAATGTAATCCAAAACAATGGAACTTGCATTTGCGAGAGAAAAAGACAGCCGCCTGATATACAACGCGGTGAAATAGCTAGAGATTTAAGCGTGAAGTAAATAAAAGGCAAACACAAGGCAAGGGGGGAAGTTGAAGCGAAAAACGATATTTTTGGACTTATTTGATATTGTCTGAAAGCATATGTTAAGAAAACGGAAGAAAAAAAAAAAAAAGAATTGGATTGTTAGTAGTATGATATGCTGCTTTTGGCAAGGACAATAAAGAAAGTCCCATGACAGATGCATCGCTCAAATTGTTCGATTGGGAAGCCTGTGAATCCTGTCAAAGGTGTGTGGGCAGCCCAAATATCAGAATCGCAGTTTCTGTGAGACCTAGAATTTTTAAATGGCAATGGATGTAAAAGTTTGAACGAAAAGAAAGGCCACCAATACCATGAAATGTTCTGTTGAGATTATTTTCACAGACCACGTTTCCTCGAGTTTTTGGATCATCGGTTGATTAGCTTGGGAACACGGCGCAAATCAGCAGAAAACAAGATGCCAGTTAACCAGAACGGAAAACGCATTGAGGTGACAAAATGTTCCAGTACAAATTTCTTTGATACAAGTTCAATTGTGATTTAAGTTTCTTTTGGAGAGCCCAGCCATCGTGACTACTCGTCGAGCAACAACCAACCGACGCTCTTGAAAAGTCTCATATTTCAAGCTAAATTTATTCAACTTCAGAAGGTTCGTGGAAGTAGAAATTTAATTACCCAGGCCAATCCGTACATATGTTTTAGCACAATTTTTAAATAATTCATGACTTGAGTTTCAGGTAAAACTAAGGTGTAGCACATGCCTAAAATATAAAACGCAACTTTGAGCCTAAATTTCGTTTTCGTTTAGGCCATCCCCTTTTTTTCTCCGTTTAGCGTCGTCCGACCGACCCAACTTTTAGGCATTTTCAAAAAGAAGAAAAAAGGAACGACGTAGTTAAACCATTTTTAACTTGAAATAAGTTTTTAATCCGAAAAATGAGTATAGTAACAACATAGCCACATAACATCATCCTGGGCTACCGGGGCCTCCTGTTCCGAGACCTCCTTTGTTGTTGTTTTTTTTTTAGTTTTTTTTTTTTCAATCCGACCGCAGGCCGACCGACCAAATATCAGGAAACGCATTCGACGCTAAACGAAAAAACAGAAAAAAAAAGGGGGGGATGGCCTTAGATGAAAAAGAATCGAAACTAAACAATTGTTTATCTTCCAGATTATCGTTAAGATAAGAATTCATCACCAAACCACAATTGGAACCCTTAAGTTTATAAATTGATTTATCGCGGAGTCTTCCTATTTTCCTGTGAGCGAAGTTTTGAGAACGCCTAATTTTGCGTTAAATTTTGGTTGTTTTCAAGTCGCCGACCACGAAAATTCATTTTGTCGATTTTCTCCAAATCGAAGCGGCCTTTTGAAAAACAAACTACACCACGTTTAGTTACTTACTAATACCTAACTATGGACAAGATATGAGGGAAAGCGATTTTTTGACTGTGCCCGCGAAATTGCGATTTTGCTCGATTTTTACCGACATTAATGCTCTTGATTATTATATGAAGCCAAAACGCTCCTTATTAACGACGTCTTGCCCAAACTGGATTCCGGTTTCCCTCTTTATTACTACTCTTACATATATCTTTAGCTCTTTTTGTGCTCCGTCTCAAATCACACTCGGCCTAAAAGTTTTGAAGGAATTAGAATTGACCTTTCTAAAGAGTTTGGAAATTTGAAGTGTTAACAAAGGGAAGTCAAGTCATTTATTACTTAATTCTAATAAGTTCTTTTAAAACGTACCTGAAATTTGACTTGGGCGTTTTCTTTTTTTCCTTTGCTGGGACTTAAAAGAAAGTTTAAATTTATTGTCTGAAATCAATTCTGCAGCCGATCAGCTGCTCCAACATGAATATATATTTCCATTTATCGTCTCATATTGCTTCTAAACAGCTGACGCTGACGACAAAATTTATAACAATTTAATTAGCTAAATAATTTGACACCTGAGTAATCTTTAAATTTATCTTAGCTTCTTTCGATGTTTCTTTTTTTGCGGTTCGGCAAGATGCTTTTCAGGAATGCATGAAAATTATATCATTCTATCTTAAGCTAAACGAAAAAGCAGAAAAACGCTAAACGAAAAAACAGAAAAAAAAAGGGGGGGATGGCCTTAGATGAAAAAGAATCGAAACTAAACAATTGTTTATCTTCCAGATTATCGTTAAGATAAGAATTCATCACCAAACCACAATTGGAACCCTTAAGTTTATAAATTGATTTATCGCGGAGTCTTCCTATTTTCCTGTGAGCGAAGTTTTGAGAACGCCTAATTTTGCGTTAAATTTTGGTTGTTTTCAAGTCGCCGACCACGAAAATTCATTTTGTCGATTTTCTCCAAATCGAAGCGGCCTTTTGAAAAACAAACTACACCACGTTTAGTTACTTACTAATACCTAACTATGGACAAGATATGAGGGAAAGCGATTTTTTGACTGTGCCCGCGAAATTGCGATTTTGCTCGATTTTTACCGACATTAATGCTCTTGATTATTATATGAAGCCAAAACGCTCCTTATTAACGACGTCTTGCCCAAACTGGATTCCGATTGCATTTCAATTCCAAACTGGATTCCGATTGCGTTTCGATTGCATTTCATTCTCAATATCTCTTGATATCATGTCACGTAGTCTGCGAGTTCTTTTCTGTTAGTTCAAGTTTGAAATATTTAGTAACATTCGTAAATTTTGGTCATCTTCGATTCATAGCTTATTGTATTAATTTTTTTCTTTGTTTTCCAACTGTCTGTTGCGAATAGCTCAAAATTTTAGAGAAACTGGATTATACAACACAAGATTGTTTTTACTATTTTCATTTTAAATTATTAAAGAAGATGACAACTGAAAAGAGACACACTTTGGTGACTTTGTCATGCTGTCTTGCCCCTGAAAAATTGTAAGGCAAATGTCGACAAGGACGGGGTGTAGTGCCTGATTTGATAACACGTGACCCAAAATAGCCAATAAAATCGCGCGAAAGTTAATCAGTGGATCATAACATCAAATGTAAGATTTTGGGGAGATACCATCGAATTTTCTTTATGGCATTTTCTCTGCGGCGCACCCGATCAGAACTGCTCTAACCTCAAACCCACTCTATGATTTGCATGTATGATTACTACTATATATAGTTCTATTTGCTATGGTCGTGTTCCTTTTGCCCAAGCTAACTCTGGAATTTTGCAATCTGAAATTTGATTTTTCATTCCATTAAGGACTAAACTAATCTAAGATTGTAATCTGAACGATCCACCTCCGCACTTGGATCGTTCAGATTGGTATGTTAATCTGGTTTCAGATTTTGGTTCCATTTAACGAAACTGCTTTTCGATCGCATGAACGTGCTCATTCATCGATAAACACGGTGGGTCAGGGCTAGTTCGGGCAAAAGTTATTTACACTCCTCCGCTGTTTTATGCCGCTTAAGGATTGTAGT